TCACGTGCTCAGGGGGCACGGCTGGGGGCGCGCGGGTGTGTGAGAATGTCGTCTGGAGTGGGTCCCCGTGTCCAGGACCGTGTACCCAGGGAGCGGCTGAGACCCTGTGCCCTTGAGCGTGTGCCCCAGGGTGTGGCCTGAGATGCACCGTGTACACAGGTGCCCAGAGACAGAGACGCGTGCCCATCGCCAGCGTTCCTGGCACACGGCCACCTGTTCACGGTGTGATGTTCCCCACCCCCAAGTCCAGCCACTTGCAGACCCTCCCCAGGGCCCCCAGTCACCCCAGTAACAGATCTGAAAGCCACATTGTTTTCCCTTGGCCTTTACTTCCATGAACCACAAAATGTGATGCGGAAACACAGGCACACGGGTGTGCTGCTCCCAGCGCCCTCGGTGACAGCCAGGCACACTCACATGGACACACATTGTTCTCGGGGCACAGGGAGTGGCAGGCACACACCGTGATACCCGCAGTTACACTCCCACGGGGTGCTCCCACCAATTCCACCATGACACGTTTATACATACATGTAACATGTTGCAGGGCGTTCATGCATATTCACACCAACAGTGAAACATGCCTGGGTAACACGTGTCACCAGCACCCACCCTCACTGTGACACACCTTTGTGGTCCCTGCTGACACAGCTACCCACTGTGATGTGCATGACACCACATGCTATGATATACACGTGTCACATGGACAGTGACAGGTGCACACCACGCCCTCTGTGACTCCACATTCAACATTCACCCAAGACCTGCCCTCCATGAAATGCTTACCCCCCCCACACGCACACACGCAGCTCCACAACACTCATTCACCGTGACACATGATTCGATATGTGGGGATGATGAGTGGGTTCAGACGAGACTGGGCCCCACGTGTCATATGTACGGGGAGGCACGCCCCTGTCCTCGAGCTGCGCCCAGGCTTCCCTGTCCTCTTGATTACCGAGTGGCCTGTGTGGGCTCTGTAAAGAAGGGAAGTAGCGATCCGAGATCAGGCAGGTCCCCCTAGGCGAGAAGTAGGGCACATCCAGGCTCCACCTCCCCTGGCCCCGGCTTACGTGGATTTTGCATTTTCTTCAGCATCTCAGAGATCTGCTGTAATTGAGCCTTGATTTTGTTTATGTCTGCGGGTGGGAGGAGACAGGAGAAAACTGGGGTGGAGCTTCAGACAAGGCCCCCACCTTGCCCAAACCTCCAGGCTGGGGTGCTGCAGAGCCCTGCACTTGGGGTGCCCAGCAGCATTTAAATACCCCCACATTACTAACAGGTGACACCCATCAGCCCTCCAAACCCTGCGCTCCGGGAGGGAGGGCCTCCCCAGCACCACAGTCCCGGAGCGAGACCCACAGGGCACCTCCCGCCTCCAGCACCACAGTCCCGGAGCGAGGGGCACAGGGCACCTTCCGTCAGCTTCTTCAGCTTCTCGTTCCCAGCCTGCACACTGCGGTTGGCCCAGTCAATGCTCTGTTTGGCGTTGTTGAGGCTCTGCCTGACGTAGCTCCAGCCCCTCCTCTGCCCCGCCTCCCATTCACGTGTGGAGATAGAGACTGCGGGCGGGGGTGGGGGTGTCCGTGTCACGGCTGCTCTCTCTACCCCCACCCTGACCCCTTGGTCTCCCCCGGGGCCTCCCCTCACCATTCGAGATCTCCATTTTCAAGACCAGCAGCTCCTGGGACATCACAGAATCTGTTCAGGACGGGGGAGGGTAGGAAAACACATCAATTGCCCCAGTTCGGCAACCCTGGGAGCAGGCGAGGGGGGGGAGAAACTAGGGGGAAAGGGAACAGTGGGAACACTGGGGCCCCCAGCTCCTGTGGACCCCTCCACACGGCCCAGTCCC